ACACAATGAATGAACACCACAGCATGTTTCTAAACAATAGATCCTGGATGGACCAGGCACCTACATTACCACTGAATAGCTATACAAGAGCATACGCTGCTGTGTTACATAAAGGCACATCGTGTATTCATCACACTGCACCCCAAATGTACAGTATTACACATAACACTAAATTGTGGATGAGATATTTCGTCATCCTTGCTCTCAGGATCGCAATATAGTTACTTGGGTACAAGTTTGACTCGACTTATTCGATTACAAGGAACATTCACAATAAGGCAAGTTGCAGGCTTCGTTGTTAACTAGGCCTCGTATTTATCATAACAATGTAACAGCATAATAAAGGCATTTACAGCATTATAACGATCATTCTAACATTATAACGGCATTCCCAGTATTATAAGAACATTAACGAACTTACAGACAATGCTTCTTAAAGTCCCACAATGGACAATTACAACTGGCTTCACTGGGACGCGATTTGTGCCGCCATCTTAAATTATGTGTAATGGCTGCCTCCAGCCTCGTTGTTGAAACTAGCAAATCGTAACTTCCTGGTCACGTGACCAAACTCAGCATCAAAACAGGAAATTCCTGTGTACATACGACCCCCCCCCCCTCCCCCATCTGCAGTGAGGCAAAACCCCTGCCGTGAGGCAGAACACCAGGATACAAAGGGCATGGGACCGGGTTGAAGCATGTATATCTGAAGCTCAAAACGCCCCAGACACAGTGGCCTCAATTCAGTGGGCCATACAGCGAGTGAAGGTGAGCAGCTCAAGCTACAAGCTGCTAGCAAATAAATACATTTCCCCCCTGATGAAGGTGAAAACAGATGAGGGCATCGACGGAGTGCGCATGCAAGAACACTTCCTTGAACTGCTCGATGATAATGTGCAGGCAGTGATACAAGACGCAACGGACCGTGTGGAACGCTTAAGAGAGACACGATCCCAGCACTCTGTCTCATCCAAGTCCACCACAAGATCTAAAGGCTCAGCGCACTCACAGACATCATCTACTAGTATGGCAGCAGCTCAGGCACGTGAAGCAGCAAAAGCAGCAAACGCCCGTATCTCCTACATGGCGGAAGAGGAAGCCATGCTAATTGAAAAGGCCCACATACAAGAAGAAGCAAGCATAGCAACTGCTGCCGCACGGAAGGAAGCAGAGCAAGAGAGTATATTAGCAACTAATTTTCTTGAATACCTACCATGGCGTGAACCCCATCGTAGAGAAATTGCCATTTCATGTGCAGGAAAAATGGAGAACAGCGGGTTCAAGATACAAGTCAGAGCATCAGGCTGCATTCCCCCCATTCTCCTTTTTCTCAAAGTTTATCTGCAACCTGGCTAAGACCAGAAATGACCCGAGTTTTATGTTTGGCACCACAGGGATCTCCAGTCCAGATCTCCCAAAAATGGAAAGGGCAATGGCGAAACGAAGAACAGCGAGAGTGCCAATTTCCGTACACAAGACTGAGGTCTCTCCTACGACATTCGCAAACTCCGTCCAGGCAACCACCACAAAGAAAAAGATAGAGGATCCAGAAAAGCAATGCCCATTGCATGATGAACCTCACTCCCTCCAGAAATGCCGTGAGTTCAGGAGGAAGCCATTGGAAGAGCAGAAGAACATGCTGAAAGAAATTGGAGTGTGCTTCAAATGCTGTGCTTCTACTAACCATCTTGCAAGGAATTGCAAGGCAGATATCAAGTGCGAGGAATGTGGCAGTGACAAACACGCAACTGCTCTGCACACATTTTACTCCAAACCCAGTGGCACTAAGGCTTCCGATCCCGAACCAGAGCACGGCGGGGAGCAAGGTGAGACCACCGCACTCACTTAGTCAATCACAACCAAATGCACAGAAGTCTGTGGGGAAGGCTTCAAAGGAAGATCTTGCTCAAAGACATGCCTCGTCCGAGTGTATCCCAAAGGACATCCTGAAAGGGCAGTAAGGATGTATGCCATAATTGACGACCAGAGCAACAAGTCTTTGGCAAGGTCAGCTAAGCGTATGTGGGAATTCCTTTTCTTATACGCTCAGAACATGCTCAGGACTGATAGAGACAGCGGGAAGAAGAGCGAGCAGCCTCATGGTGGAAACCATGGATAGCACCATGAAGCTAGCCCTTCCTACGGTGACAGAGTGCAATGAGATACCGGACGACATTAGTGAGATTCCCACGCCCGAAGTCGCACGTCACCACCCACACCTGAAACCCATAGCAGAGTTCATCCCGCCATTGGATCACGCGGCACAGATTTTACTTCTGCTTGGCAGGGACATGCTGAGAGTCCACAAGGTTCGTGTTCAACGCAACGGACCTCACGACGCTCCCTACGCCCAGAGACTCGACCTAGGATGGGTCATCGTAGGTGATGTTCGTCTCGATGGAACACACAAACCAGACCACATTAGCACATTCAGAACGAGTGTGCTCACGAATGGACACACGTCACTCTTCAAACCGTGCCCCAACCACTTCACGCTGAAAGAGAAACTCGAAGAGAGAAGTCAAGGCTGTACCTTGCAGACTTACAAAGAAACCACCACGATCAACACAACTTCGCTTGTACATCCACCGTTTTCACTGGATTTTGTTCCTCCACGTTTCTCCAAGCCAGTCATGACTGACAGGAAGAAGACAAAGATGAAGCTGCTGCTGATCGCTCTGCTGGTGGTCGTGGCAGTGGTTGCTGCGACCGTGGCCTCTCCGTTCCTAGACCCGGAGCTGTCGTCCGAGTGGGAATCCTGGAAGGAGTTCCATGGCAAGGCCCCGCAACCGGAACATACCATCCCAAGGCTCGAGCTGTGTGGAGCTGTTCTAGCTACGGAAGTGGCGGAACTGATCTTAGACGAATTGAACATTAAACTGTACGCGGTCAAGTTCTACACAGACAGTAAGGTAGTACTAGGCTATATAAACAACCAAACCAGAAGGTTCTACACCTACATCAGCAACCGGGTGGAACGCATCAGGAGATCGATGCCGCTGGAGCAATGGAATTACGTACCAACTGACCAGAATCTAGCAGATCTCGCAACTAGGTCCGTCCCTGCATCTCTGCTGAAGCAAACCATCTGGCTGACGGGTCCAACGTTCCTCTTACGACGTGACGGTGGCCAATGTACTAACAAAGAGACGTATGGACTCGTAGAACCCGAGTCAGCTAAGGAGATTCGTTCTCACGTGACAACTTTCGTAACAAATGTGCGACCAAGAAGTCCACTGAGTCCCCACCATTTTGAACATTTCTTGAAATGGACGACGCTCGTGCGAGCGATAGCACATCTAACACATATCGCAGACTGCTTCCATCGCCCGATAAGAGGCACCACTGGTAGCTGCAACGGATGGCATCACTGCACAGTGCCACGCACTGAAGATGAGCTTTCCAGAGCAAGGAAATCAATATTCCACTGTGTGCAACGAGCAGCTTATACAAGTGAGATCAATGCCATCAACCTTCCTAGGGTCAGCACCCTCAGGAAGTTAAACCCCAGGATGGCCAAAGACGGCTTGCTCAGGATCGGTGGTCGGCTAGGGAATGCAAAATTTGATGAAAATGAACGAAACCCCCTCATAATCCCAAGCCAGAGCCACATCGCAAATTTACTTGTGCGTTACTACCACGAGAAGGTGAAGCACCAAGGTCGGCACTTCACAGAAGGAGCAATCCGATCTGCAGGGTTGTGGATCGTTAGAGCAAAGAGGTGCATCACCAGCACAATGCACAAGTGTATCAGGTGTCGCAAGCTACGTGGAAAACAGGAAGAACAGAAAATGGCAGACCTCCCAGCCGATCGACTCAGTGTAGAACCTCCCTTCACCTCTGTAGGGATCGACGTGTTCGGACCATGGACAGTCATCTCCCGCCGCACCAGAGGAGGGCTCGCGAACAGCAAACGTTGGGCAGTGCTGTTTACCTGTATGAGTACACGAGCGGTGCACATCGAAGTCATCGAGCCCATGGACTCTGCAAGCTTTATAAATGCACTCCGGAGATTCTTCGCCATCAGAGGGCCAGCAGCAACTCCGTTCTGATTGTGGAACCAATTTCATTGGAGCATGTAAAGAGCTTAAGATCAATACGGAGAATGTCGAAGATGATTCTGTCCGGAAATACCTTAGTGACCAAGGCTGCACATGGATCTTCAATCCTCCTCACTCTTCACATATGGGTGGAGCCTGGGAACGCATGATCGGGATTGCTCGACGCATTCTCGACTCCATGCTGTGTGATGTCGGGTCCACACAGCTCTCACACGAGGTCTTGACCACTCTCATGGCCGATGTCTCAGCCATAATTAATTCAACACCCCTGATCTCCAGTCTCAACCGACCCGGAGTCACCATTCATCTTGACTCCTGCTACACTTCTTACCCAGAAGACAGACGTGCTCACAGCACCCACCGATGAGGTCAGCACTGCAGACCTCTACAGATGTCAATGGAGACAAGTGCAGAGCTTCGCCAACACGTTCTGGCATCGCTGGAAAAACGAGTACCTTGCGGCACTCCAAGTGCGCAGCAAGTGGCAGTCGAACAGACCAGACATCCAAGAAGGTGACCTCGTCTTACTGAAGGACAACCAAGCTAAACGGAATGAGTGGCCAATGGGCCGCATCCTCAAGTCGATTCCCAGTGCCGAAGGAAAGGTTCGAAAGGTCGAGGTTATGATTGCGAAGCAAGGTGTCGCAATAACTTTCGTCAGGCCCATAGTCGAGACAGTACTACTTCTCTCTCGCAAAGATATGGACAAAAAGTTGACCCATTGAAGTTGTTATACATTTGTTTATGAGATAGGAAATAAATGGTGGTATCTCCTAGATACCAGACGGGGAGTGTTCTGCCTCACGGCAGGGGTTTTGCCTCACGGGAGATGGGGGGGAGGGCGTATGTACACAGGAATTTCCAGTTTTTGATGCTGAGTTTGGTCACGTGACCAGGAAGTTACTATTTGACAGTTTCAACCGCGAGGCTGGAGGCAGCCATTACACAGATTTCAAGATGGCGGCACAAATCGCGTCCCATTGAAGCCAGCTGATATTGTCCATTGTGGGACTTTAAGAAGCATTGTCTGTAAGTTCGTTTATGTTCTTATAATACTGGGAATGCTGTTATAATGACCGTTATAATGCTGTAAATGCCTTTATAATGCTGAAACATTGTTATGATAAATACGAGGCCTAGTTAACAACGAAGCCTGCAACTTGCCTTATTGTGAATGTTACTTGTAATCGAATAAGTCGAGTCAAACTTGTACCCAAGTAACTATATTGCGATCCTGCGAGCAAGGATGATGAAATATCTCATCCACAATGTAGTGTTATGTGTAATACTATACATTTGGGGTGCAGTGTGATAAATACACGATGTGCCTTTATGTAACACAGCAGCTTATGCTCTTGTATAGCTATTCAGTGGTAATGTAGGTGCCTGGTCTATCCAGGATCTATTGTTTAGAAACATGGCATCTAAGACAATGTTATGATGCTGTGGTGTTCATTTATTGTGTTGGTGTTTCCGGGTATTAACAGATGCCGTATCTGTGCCGTTTTTTTTTTTTACCAGTTTTACCACGTTCAATTCAATAAATGACGTTTGGAGTCGGATGTTCACCCTGGCTCTGAGGGTTTATTGGACGCGAGGTTAACTACTCAGCTAGCGGTGCAACGCAGCGCACAGCGAGGCCGAGACAATAATACTTATTTAGCTGTACATTTAAATCTGCACTGTGCTTAAATCTATATATGGGTTCTGCTTGGTGTTTCTTTCTATATATACAACACCACATCGTTAGAATACAAATTCGTGTTTGAAAAATTTGAATGTGTGCGTGTTTGTTGAATTTCGTCTGCACCGTACGTATCCAACCATGCTAAAATGCTATTGATTACATTAATGACAAAAATATTACAATCGCGCATGAAGAGGAAAAAAGGTGGTCATATTTAACTGTATTACATTTGAAAATGGATTAGTCAATATTGATATATAGACAGAAATGCGTTGACAATGGTGAAGGTGTCACGCCTCTACTGGCAGAAGGACCTCCGGGAGAGTGAACTCTACTCTTTCACGTTGACTTGACGTGCGGATTGCTGGCAGATGAATGTTACTTCATCATCTTCATCAGCCATCATTATTTCACCACTGGATGAATACCTCTCTGCAAATCGTTGCCATTTCTCACGGTCCTGTGATGTAACGCATGAGTATGTAATGCAGTACAAGTGGACTACATGTTTAACTTTTATACACCCTAAAATGTCCTCAAAATGGAACTCGTCTTTGTGCTTGCAATATACGTCTGTTGTAAAAAAATGATTGTCGTACAATTTTAATAAATTTGTTCTTTAATTACAGATATCTAAACAAGTGAAACGTCACCTGCATAACAAGGAACAATGAATACAAATAAAACCGTTTCTAGGGTATGGACATACGTTGCTTTTTTATTTATCATCGTGAGCATTATTCTGGTGTCAGTTTTGATTCACCACCATGTAAATGCAAACTTTCCCAAGAAGTGCCCCAATAAATTTGTTCTAAATGGCATTAAACCGGATTATAAGGCAATGGAGATATTTTCCGACCTAACGCCAACAGAATTAACAACCGTCAAGGACTTCCTGGTGAGCCATAAGGAGCTCAATATTGTTGCCTCAGAAGCTACCGTGAACAGCAACTACATCTACATGATAGAGCTCTACAACCCAGACAAAAAGGAAGCTTTGCATTACTTGGACCATGGAAGAGCCAAGCCTGCTCGAGTTGCTAAAGCAGTGGTTTTCCCAATTAACTGGCACTATTTGAACACATATGTATAATCAACAATAGGGACATTAAAAGTGTGTTGTTTGGAAAGATGGAATGGAACTAGAAATAGAGGAAGACCTCACAGAAAATGGCTTGACGACGACATAAGACATGCGTGCCAAAAAGATGTGAACTGAGCATATTGGTACAAGACAGAGAAAAGTGAAAACTAATAACTAAATGGGGTATCTGGCCATGGATTGTGATGGTGATGAATTCCACATAACCATTTAATATCTCCCTTCTACCCAAGGTACCAGGTGGCAGTGACGAAACTCAAAGAGACTGAGCGACATAGCTCCAGCATCTATCAGCAGAACGACCCTTGGGACCCAGCGGTCTATTTCCAGGATTTCCTGGAAATCATCAAAACATCAAAATGTTTTGTTCATGTAATACGTCAACGTGATTTGTCAAGGTGATTTCTTACTCAAATGAACACTGAGGTGGTGTTTATCTCCCGTTTAAAACTTTGAGCCAGTAGTGAAAAATACACATTTATATGACAGGGGCGATTGTATCCATGGGACAACCCCTGCCGACTTCCCCATAAAGTGGTCCTTATTTTAGCCCACCCAAGAGGGATAATGGACTGAGTCGACCGCCAACCACGATTTCAATAAGCAATCTTCCCATTGAGCCGTTTGCACTACCGCTGAGCCACCTGTTTGGTTCATATTCGCTTTCCTTGATGTAAGAACAATCGAGGCTTCACAGGTGCTAACGCCATCGCCTGTGGCCGTGCTGCTGGGCAGGACCTGGTGGCCTGGGTGACGGTGGGCTTCGTGCACATCCCCCACTCAGAGGACGTTCCCAACACGGCCACCGCCTGCAACGGCGTGGGATTCTTCTTCCGGCCGTTCAACTTCTACGACGAGGACCCATCGGTGGCATCGCGGGACGTCGTGATCCTGCGCCCTGGGTCCCACAGCTCTGGAAAGCCTGTCGTGTCCTGGTGGACGGAGCAGAGCCCCACTGAGCCCAGCGTGTGCCTGCCCGACATTCAGCCACTAGCTTACAACGGCACACGCACTCCTGTGTAAGTGAAACCCACACAGTACTGTTGAGATAGCTGTGATGTCATGTTAAATCAATTGTATTCTTGCATTTATTCAACACGTTATGAATAATATATGGTGAAAAAAAAATATGAAATAGTATGCAGGTTAATCGAAAAGTCTCTGTGCAGTGGGCGCAAATATTAACCAGAGCCTGGATGAAATGTGAATGGGAATTACCCACGTGCAAGAGACATATACAGACAAAATAATGTACCGTAATCATTTGCTTTCAAACATGTTAGGACATGTTCGGTAGTGTTTGGATGTAGATTTTTCCCAATTAAATTAATTACTGTGGATTGTAACGCCAGTTCTTTTGTACAGATACTCTCTGTCACCTTGTTTATATGTGGGTATTAAGCAAAAATGAATACAATTCTTCTGCACATAACTTTGTTCCATTCCACAGACGTTGCACAATCACTGCAAACCTCTTTATTTTTTGGCATAGCATTTGTATTTCGAATCACCAGTCAATAATCTCAGTGTGTTGAGATTCCATTAATGGTGCTCCAGCCCAGGGAGCCTAGCAAGGGATGCAGGCAAGGTAAGGTGCCTGGCCTGCTTGGCCTATGAAGAGGTTTGCCACCTGTCCAGGTTTGACCGAGACAGATCAGGAATTGGAACCTGTGTTCAGGTTGCAAGACATTGTTTGTCCCTAGATCTGGTGGTATTATGCTGAACTTGATTACAGTGTAATGCTCCGTTTTGGTTAACCTAAGCTGACAGAACTATGTCTGGGTTTGATCGATGGACAAGGAGGCAACACTACCAGTGAAAAACACAACTAGGCATGTTAGAAAAGTAATTAAGCAAAAATAAACAAATATATTCGCGAAATATTTGAAGTGCTTTTTAATTTATTTAACTTCATAAAGATTAATAAATTGTATTATCAAGCATCTCGCAATCATAATTCTAAATTTTAGTCATGTTTGAATATCTCCATGATGACCACATGACTCCATCCAGCCAATCAGAGCACATTACCCCTATAACATCTGCACATTTTGAAAGCTGATTAAACATTGTTGAGTGTTGCCAGAGTGAAACTTTTCTTTGTGTTGCAGCTTGTCACGGAGTAACAGGGGCAGCAACGTTGCTCACAGCATTATATTACATGAAATTGTACCATTTATCTTTGCCTTTTAACAATGTCATTATTCTCTGGATCAAAGCGATTGAATAGGCATTATCAAGATATACATTTTCTCTATGGAAGCTTTCAAGTCCCATGCTGATACTGACAAATCGCACACATATCTAGACGTGTAAATGTTAATGTTGAATATTAATAGCACGTCGACATTGCTGTATCCCCGAGTTTGAAATTAAGTTGGCAAGCTTCCCCTTCAGCTCACCTCCAACTTGAGAAATTCTCATGGATACTAACCAATCGCTCCTCTTCTTGGTGGCCTGTCACACATTATCTCGGGAAACTTTAAGAGCTCCGTTTCACTTATATTTGTGTATATCACTATATACCAGAGGTGTGGACTCGAGTCATGTGACTTGGACTCGAGTCAGACTCGAGTCATGAATTTGATGACTTCAGACTCGACTTGGACTTGCATAACAATGACTTTGTCCCACCTCTGAGGTGTGGACTCGAGTCATGTGACTTGGACTCGAGTCAGACTCGAGTCATGAATTTGATGACTTCAGACTCGACTTGGACTTGCATAACAATGACTTTGTCCCACCTCTGAGGTGTGGACTCGAGTCATGTGACTTGGACTCGAGTCAGACTCGAGTCATGAATTTGATGACTTCAGACTCGACTTGGACTTGCATAACAATGACTTTGTCCCACCTCTGAGGTGTGGACTCGAGTCATGTGACTAGGACTCGAGTCAGACTCGAGTCATGAATTTGATGACTTCAGACTCGACTTGGACTTGCATAACAATGACTTTGTCCCACCTCTGCTATATACTGTACAGTACATGAACAGCCCTTTTCAATTTTGCTGCTGAAAGAGGGCCTGCTCACATTGCGAGTCGTCGTGGTTATATACTTTATCACGCTGGTCAGTACCAGATGAAGGTGTGGGACCACAGAAGTACAGTGCAACAATGGATCCTTTGGCATTGTCCTCTGCTGCCCATCATGCAGCCCATAAACCATGGGAAATAAAAAATTGTATTACTAAAACTATTTTCTGACAGGAAGTGGAACAAATACAGTAAATGTATATCTCAACCATAATGTTTAGGAGCAGAAAGCTATCTTTTCATCTTCTGTATTCTTGAAAACGGTTATGTAAGGTAAAGGGTGATTAGATGTAGGGTGGTGGCTCTGCATGTGGCCTGAAGTCCATCACTGGAAGCGATGGTTGGTGGATCGCACAAATGTTGTGAAAATCCCTTCTAGTGGGCGTCGAGGTGCCGTACACTGGCTTTCCAGGTGAATGCAGTGCAGCAAGTGGACTAATCGACATCTGTTTCCATCTGTATGGGAATAGAGTATTGCTCCCCTCTGGGCATTTTTTGGAGTGCTTCGGTTTCCTCCCCCATTATAAACGCTCGTTATTTGGGCTGACTGCCGATATTGGGAAATTGTTGACACCGGACCACTGTCCGGTTGCATCTCAGTTATCTGTGATTCTTCAGAGATTGGGCGATGCATTTTGCATACGGCGACGCTATGTAAAACTGAACACATGCGCATATCGTAGTTACAATAGTGGTGGAATGTACTTTATCACGCCATGTTTTGTCGCCCTCTGTATAATTTCGGACACGAATAAAGCTTAACAATGTGTAGCACCCACTGACCTGTGTGTATCCTTTCACTCGGAATTGGGTTTGCCAGTTCTCCAGCTCCGCCGCAATTCTGGTAGCTTAGCCGCTCCAGGCTGGCTCCATATCTGAGAGAAAAACTCATGGGAATGCCCATAGGCTAACGGGGAGACATAGAGAATGCCCATTGCCTAACATTGAGAAACAGATTGCCATAGGCTGACCATGGAGAATACGGAATGCCCATAGAAGTGGCTGCCTTTGGCTCAATTTTTAGTTGGGAGGTCCTGGGGTAGTCGGGGCAGGGTTTGGGAGCTGGGGGTCGCTTTACTGAGGCAGGATAATTCTAGATTTGAAGTTTTCGTGACTGCAAGGATTCATACTCTTTGTTTTTTTCGGTAAAGTAACGTAGGTAAAAAATTAAAATAAATTAAATCACGACGTTTCGGGCGCAGCACCAGCGTCCTTCAGGTGGGGACAACTTAGCGAAAGCACACAGCTTAAGTGTGTCTCAGAGGTGGCTGTGACGAGTAATTATACAGGCGCGGGCGGATGGGGGGAGGGGGCATGGTGAGTGTGGGGGCGGCGGGGTGTGGGCTGGGAGGTAGCGTTGTGTACCCCGAGCAACGAAATCACGACGAAACGTGATTTAATTTATTTAATTTTTTACCTACGTGACTTTACCGAAAATACCAAAGAGTATGAGGCAGGATAAATTACACTCGAGAGATGCGGTTGCCACAAAGCCATACGCTGCCATTACCAGGACCTGGACGCACCATGGCCAGTGCTGCCCCCTAGGGCCGGTGGCTGCATCGTCACCATCCTTGATCATGCTCGATTATGATGTGTCCAGGTGACACCCCAATACATGAGCGTAAGAATGTATGAATCCATGCATAGTTACAACCCAACAAGAGCAGTGTTATATTATACTCTTTGGTTCTTTTGGTAAAGTCACGTAGATATAAAATAAATTAAATCACGACATTTCGATTGCAACACAAGCAATCATTATACCTACGTGACTTTACCGAAAGAACAAAAGAGTATGGATCCCTGCAAGTCACGAAAACTTTAAATCTAGAGTGTTATATAATTTTATCCAATTTGGTAATGATAATATTTCGCAAGCATTTTTGTTTCAGTTATCAATGACTATGAGTGGATATAAATCATCAATAACGACGATTGCTGCAACTTCTGCCCACCAAAAAGCAAAGCCTCATTGACTATGATGTGGATGAAATTAATTCGTATGAAACACGACTACGATAAATTAGTAACATTATTCGAGACAGCAGTACACTGAGGAAGATCAAACATGGTAGTTGGCTATATAGATTAAAATATTATCTGATAATATTGGGCAGGAATAAATTGCATGCCCCTCACACCGGTTTATGTGACTGCTTTAGTCACATCGACCTGGAGAACGACTACATAATCTCTATATCCTGAGACTTGACTAAAATTCACAGGTTCTCATCGACTCGGCTAAGACTAACTTTAGTAAATAAATACAAATTATGACTAAATTAACATCGGACAGGAATTGGCTACAGAATAGCACCACCAACCACTTACCTGAACATGGTAACACTGATTTTAACAATAAAAATTGACACACACATGTCTTCTCAAAGTTAAGCCGAAGTAGAGAAATAACAATGGTCCATACTCTTAGTTCTTTCGGTAAAGTTACGTAGGTAAAATTAATAAAAAATAAAACAATAAAAATCACGACGTTTCAGAGGCAACACAAGCTCCGAAACGTCGTGATTTTTATTGTTTTATTTTTTATTAATTTTACCTACGTGACTTTACCGAAAGAACTAAGAGTATGGATCCTTGCAGTCACGAAAGCTTCAAATCTAGAAATAACAATGGCTTTGACTGACAATTCTATTCACCATAGCGCCATCTAGTGTTGCCTCTACGACATTTTATAAATGAGATAATTCAGTACAATACAAAGTTTTAGATTTGCAATTTCAGTGTTTTGTATTTCCCCCACAGCAATTATATAGTATTTACACCACTGTTTAAATACTTTATTAATAAAAATCAAAAGACTGCTTTTGACTGCGATTGAAAATTTCAAACAATGTCTTCACAGGCTTAATTTTGAAATATTTAAACATGAACCAAAAATAATATTGACTTAATTAAAACAGCAGATACTATTTAGATTGTAGGCATACATTCGATTTTAATTAAATACTCAAATGGCTTTGCATATGAATAAACATTAACACTGTATGCTTTTTCTAATTCAGGTATATTGCGCATCAAAAATAAAATAACTTACACATTTATTTGTACTCGGTTGATTTAAGAATATCTCCAAGGTCCACTACACTTTTGTTTTGATTTGTTCATGGTTTTGAAACGTATTATCTAATTTACAGGATAAAGTTATGATCGTTATATATTAAAAACATCATGCAAAGGTATTAATTATGCAATGCTTTGAATGTGAGTTTGTCTTGTGAGTTTGTCAGTGCAAAACACGTTGACATTTTTCAAACACTGTTGTTATTTTGTTCGTTTCGTCTCAAGGTTACTGGACACCCCTGGATCAATTTTGCCGGTTTGCAATAGAGTTAGTCACAGTTACAGGCACACTCACAAAAAAAGTGACTAACGTTTATTAACTTAAAACTGATCTCTTTCCAAAACATGTCTTAGAGCTTCGATTTTATTTTTTTCCATAACTGATTAACTTGACACTGCTATGTCTCATTGTTGCTTGAGGGTTAATAATTATTAAACTGTACATTTATTAAATATTTGAATTTGTTTTAGGAATCCTTGTCAATCAATCTGATCTGTGAAGATTAGTTTTGCAAGGTGTCTTATGCCCATCCAGGACAACATTTGGAACAAATTCCATTTGGACATGTTTGACCGAGAAACTTGTGATTTTTTTATATTCATTGTTAATAATAAACTTACAATTCCAATGTAGATCAGTGGAATTAGCAAAACATGATCCAAATAACCGAATCAATAGTTTAAAGGTCATATCGCTATCCATATCTGTGGATATGTGTCAGGGTGCAGAATTTAAAACATTGTTTCGTCAGCTTTTTTCTTTAAAAATACCCGCTGTGTCATTCACTTCAGTATGACCTTGCATTGATGCAGTTACATTGCTGAATGTCATGTTAAATAGTTTTTCTGCAGTTCACGGCCTTAAAAAGTATCCCCCAATACAGTAATAAACCTTGGAAGAATAATGAGATGCGTCCCACTACCTATGAGAGTGTATTTTTAAATTGGAAGGCCATGAGTTCGTCTCAATCAGGAATTGACTTGTTACACTCTATTTGTATGCTCCCATATCTATGCCCCCTGCCTTCAGAGCCCAAACTGAGTGCGGTGGTGAAGAATGGTCAAACAACTCTCACAAACCGTATGGCATGGACAGGCCCTCATCCAGCAGTGATTTAAAACGGGCTGCTACGGTATGGATAGCGAGATAATTACGACTTTTCTGTTAAGACCTTCGTAAACTAAATATCTTGACCAATTAATTATTTACCATGATAATCTTAAGGATTTTAAACAAATTATTAACTGTCTTTCCTTGACTATAATTTTTGGAATTGGTCGTTGCGAAAACTTTCGTAAAATGATGAATTGTTATGGGTAACATTCTCTTGACCTTTGTCTTTGTGCATGAGGTCTGTGAGTCCCCACCCTTTGATTAATTATAAAATCATGCTGGGGACAATTAACGTTGTAGTGATGTTTTGTAATCATTTT